AGTCCCAGGAACCCGTCTCAAGCGCAGAAGTGACAGGGCCTTCTCTGTAGCAGGCCCAAGACTTTGGAACGAGTTACCTCTGCTCGTTAGGCAGGCCCCCTCCCTCACAGTTTTTAAATCTCACTTAAAAACACACTTTTATTCCCTGGCTTTCAGCACGGTGTGATCTGTGCTGAGTCTGTGTGCATCACACTGTGTTGGTCATGTTGCGGTTGTTGTTGTTATCCATTATTGTTTTTGTTGGTTTCTACTTTTTGGTGTCTTGTTATGTAATCTGTTGCTATGTGCTTGTTCTGTTTGTCCCTGTACAGCACTGTGGTGTGCTTTGTCACTGTTTAAAGTGCTATATAAATAAATTGGTATGGTATGGTATGATCGTCGGTCACTTTTGGAGCTCCGTAGATTTGCTGAAATGCCTGCAGAGGTTTTGTACAGTAGTCAGCACTCTCCTCCACTGGTTCTGTCCAAGATTCCTGCATTCCTTCTACAAGACCCTGGCCTTTCTCCCTGGAGGAAACATTGGTGGGAAGCATGCGGGGGTTTTGGTGAAACTAAGACACCATGTGGATTATTCTGTCAAGAGTTGTGGGGCTCGATCTGGATCTGATCATCGCCCCTCTGACCCGTGGTGCTCCAGGGGCCTGGCTGCTGGACAGCTACCTGCACGCTCAGTCCATGTAAACAACTGGAGTTGTTTACCTGCGTGCGGCACAAGCCGACCAGGAGGTGCTGTTCTTCAAAATCTGCGGCCGTTGGCGCATGCTCCCCCCACCACGGCTGTGTCTGTGTTGGACCCGATCAAGAAGTGTTTGATCAATGCAAGGTCTGTTTCCAACAAGACTTGTATGCTCAATGACTTTTTTAAAGATGAGCGGTTGGATTTTCTCTGCGTTATAGAGTCTTGGTTGTCTATTGGTGAGTCCAGCGCCTTGATGGAATTATTACCTCCGGACTGTCTGTGCTTTAATGTCCCGTGGCCATTAGGCCAGCGCGGTGGTGGATTATTAACAGTCTTTAAACCAAACTTTGCCTGTAAACAGTTGTCCACCCCGGTGTCCTGCTCCAGCTTTGAACTGAGCATTTTTGAACTCAGACATTCTCCTCCGGTTCTGTGCACACTTGTCTACCACCCCCCTCGATCCGAGGACTTCATAAATGAATTCTCAGATTTTCTGGCTGATTTCACACCGATTTACGATCATGTTTTAATCATTGGGGACTTTAATATTCTGTTCTGTGTCTGTTGTCAGGAAAAGCCGTTAGTGAAGGATTTTCTAGATTTATTGGACTCTTTTCATTTAACTCAGCAGGTAAACGGTCCCACACAAGAACACGGACCCACTGGACCTCGTTTTAACACGTGATGTCTCTGTTTGTAATTTGAAAATCGGCGACAATGTTTTTTTCAGACCACATGCCTGTATTTTTTTTATCTCACCCCGCCTTAACCTACTGCTATGCTGTGCGCTCCTGCACTTACCACACACACCATTAACCGTTTCACTGCTGCTCATTTTATTGAAGCTTTTAACTCTGAGAGGATCGAATAGCTCTCGGTGTCTCTTAACACCAAGGATCTAACCTCTCAGTTCAACTCTGTTTGTTTACATGTTGTGGACCGTGTTGCTCCCGTTAAAACGAGGAAAACGAAACTTAGATCAGAGCCGTGGCTGGATGACCTCACTCAAGCCTTTAGACAGCAATGTAGGAGAGCACAGCGCAGGTGGAGGAAAGACTGGCTGCAGGTTTCTTTTCAATTGCTAAGGAAGAGTTGGCGTCGTTATCAGAAAGCAGTTAAAGCAGCTAAATCTAAATACTTTTCTGATATAATTGCCTCAAACTCTAACAACACCCCAATTATTTTTTCTAACCTGAACTCAGTTCTTCACCTCAGTGAACCTTCATCTCTGGAAGCCTCAACTGAGCTGTGTGAGAACTTCCACCATTTCTTTTTAGAAAAAGTTGCGAACCTTCGGGCTCTCATTTCTCCACCAGCTCATGATCCGTCCATCCCATCTCAATTTGTAGATGTATTTGACCACTTTGAGCACATCTCTCTGTCTTTTCTGGAGCAGGTAATGTGCAGCATGAAGCCATCTGGTTCCCCCTTTGACGTCCCCCCCCCCCCCCCCCCGATTCCTAAAGGAAGTTCTTTCTATCCTGGGCCCTTCTATTCTTGCTATTGTGAATAGCAGATTATCCTCAGGCGCCAAAAATTTTAAACATGCTGCTGTCTAACCTCTCCTGAAAAAACCTAACCTTGACCCCCCGTTAGAGAAACAGTCAAAAATCTGGGAGTGATAATGGACCCTTCCTTGAATCTTAACAGTCATGTAAACATGATTGTTAAATCCTGGTTTTTTTTCAGCTGAGGCGACTGTCTAAGTTGAAGCTCATACTGTCCAAAAAGAATCTTGAAACAGTGATCCATGCGTTCATAACATCCAGGCTCGACTACTGCAATGCACTTCTGTTTGGACTGCAACTGGTCCAAAATGCTGCAGCCCGATTTGCAACTGGTACAGGCAATAGAGAGCACATTACACCAGTTTTGGCCTCCCTGCACTGGCTACCCATTCGCCTTCGTATCCAGTTCAAAATACTCATTTACAGGTCCTTCTCAAAAAATTAGCATATTGTGATAAAGGTCATTATTTTCCATAATGTAATGATAAAAATGAAGCTCTATTTCAGATTCATTGCACACCATCTGAAATATTTCAGGTCTTTAATTGTTTTAATACTGAGGATTATGGCATACAGCTCATGAAAACCCAAAATGCCTGTCACAAAAATTAGCATATCATGAAAAGGTTCTCTAAACAAGCTATTAACCTAACCATCTGAATCAACGACGTAACTCTAAACACCTGCAAAAGATTCCTGAGGCTTTTAAAAACTCCCAGCCTTGTTCATTACTCAAAACCGCAATCATGGGTAAGACTGCCGACCTGACTGCTGTGCAGAAGGCCATCATTGACACCCTCAAGCAAGAGGGTAAGACACAGAAAGAAATTGCTGAACGAATGGGCTGTTCCCAGAGTGCTGTATCAAGGCACCTCAGTGGGAAGTCTGTGGGAAGGGAAAAGTGTGGCAGAAAACGCTGCACAACGAGAAGAGGTGACCGGACCCTGAGGAGGATTGTGGAGAAGGGCCGATTCCAGACCTTCTTGCGGAAGCAGTGGACTGAGTCTGGAGTAGAAACATCCAGAGCCACCGTGCACAGGCGTGTGCAGGAAATGGGCTACAGGTGCCGCATTCCCCAGGTCAAGCCACTTTTGAACCAGAAACAGCGACAGAAGCGCCTGACCTGGGCTACAGAGAAGCAGCACTGGACAGTTGCTTAGTGGTCCAAAGTACTTTTTTCGGATGAAAGCAAATTTTACATGTCATTCGGAAATCAAGGTGCCAGAGTCTGGAGGAAGACTGGGGAGAAGGAAATGCCAGAAGTCCAGTGTGAAGCACCCACAGTCAGTGATGGTCTGGGGTGCCATGTCAGCTGCTGGTGTTGGTCCACTGTGTTTTATCAAGGGCAGGGTCAATGCAGCTAGCTATCAGGAGATTTTGGAGCACTTCATGCTTCCATCTGCTGAAAAGCTTTATGGAGATGAAGATTTCATTTTTCAGCATGACCTGGCACCTGCTCACAGTGCCAAAACCGCTGGTAAATGGTTTACTGACCATGGTATTACTGTGCTCAATTGGCCTGCCAACTCTCCTGACCTGAACCCCATAGAGAACCTGTGGGATATTGTGAAGAGAAAGTTGAGAGACGCAAGACCCAACACTCTGAATGAGCTTAAGGCCGCTATCGAAGCATCCTGGGCCTCCATAACACCTCAGCAGTGCCACAGGCTGATTGCCTCCATGCCACGCCGCATTGAAGCAGTCATTCATGCAAAAGGATTCCCGACCAAGTATTGAGTGCATAATTGAACATGATTATTTGAAGGTTGGCATTTTTTGTATTAAAAACACTTGTCTTTCATTGGTGGGATGAAATATGCAAATTTTTTGGGACAGGCATTTTGGGTTTTCATGAGCTGTATGCCATAATCATCAGTATTAAAACAATTAAAGATGTGAAATATTTCAGTTGGTGTCCAATGAATCTGAAATATATGAAAGTTTCATTTTTATCATTACATTATGGAAAATAATGACCTTTATCACAATATGCTAATTTTTTGAGAAGGACCTGTATGTTTTTAAATCACTGAACAGTTCTGCGCCATCTTATCTCTCTGAACTTCTGCAGCCATATGTCCCACCGCGCTCTCTGAGGTCAGCAGGCCAGATGCTTCTTTCAGTTCCAGGAACTTGTAAGTTCAGAGGTGACAGGGCTTTCTCTGTTGCAGGTCCAAGATTGTGGAATGAGTTGCCACTGCATGTCAGGCAGGCTCCCTCACTCATTGTTTTTAAGTCTCGCTTTAAAATCCACTTTTATTCTCTCTCCTTTGACATGGTGTGATTTGTTTTGATCCTGTCTGTGGTTATTATCTACTGCTTTTTGTTTCTATATTTTTATTTTATGTTTTCCTGTCCACTGTGCTTGTTTGTTTCTATTGTACAGCACTTTGGTTGGCCTAGTTACTGTTTTAAGTGCTCTATAAATAAATTGGTATGGTAGGGTATGGTATGTGTGTGTGTATGTGTCATTATAAACTGGTTATAGACTGTTATGGAAGTTACACTTGGTTTAAGATGGTTATAGAAAGTTATGTACAGTTATAGACAAGCATACATGGTTGTAGGCTGTTAGACAGTTGTCAACAGTTTTAGACCAGTTACAGATTGTTATATCCAGTAGTTATAAATGAATTACACTCAGGTTATAACCAATGTAGATGGTTTATATACTGGTTAAATATGGTTATAGAAAGCAATAGAGTGTTTAAACATGGATATCAACCAGTTAACGGTGGGGAAATGCAAAGCTGGAGCTGTTTGCCTGGATGGTGTGTGTGGTGATGATGGATGTCAAGACATTTTCCTCTCACCTGAAGGGTCCTGCAGAATCTTTAATTTTGCCACATTTATCTGGCTTCACTACTTCAGTCTCAAGGTTGGGGTCACAGTCTGGGTCAGGCTTAGAGCCAGGCGTACACCTACACAAAAACAGGGTTAAATGCTTTCCCTCCAAATCAAATTCTTAAGTAGACAAATAGATTAGAGCAAAATAAAATTCCAACAAACAACGATAGCTGCAGTGTGAGCTTGTTTCTGCGACAGAAATAGATATTTGAGCAAATGCTCCCTTGGCTATTTCTCCTCAAATCATCCAATTTTGTTGCTTTCTTAATAAATCATGACATTACTGATGTATGATAAGTTTTCACATGCTACTTATAACTATGGTCTGAACAGACTATTTGACTATTCGAATATAAGTCGTCTTGAGGGGTTTTATATTTCGTGTTGACTAGTCGCACCCCCCTCCCTCGCTGTTCCCAACCCTATTCCACCCAATAAATAAAATAAAACTAAAAACAGCAGCATTTTTGCAGCTTGATAATAGTTTTGCTTTTCCTTTGACTTATTTGTAGTATGATAAATGGTAGGAGCATGAATATACGCCCGATGTTTTGTTGTTCAATTATTTTTGTAAATAATAAATTATGTTTTTTTCTAATTTTTTTTTGCAAATATGATATAGTGTCTTGAGCTCCTAGGACGTCATCAACTAGTCAAATTTGACTTGACTTTTATCATGTTAAAGTCAACTTTTACATAAATGTAGTTGTTTAACACCTACCTATAACTCATAAAAAGCATGTCCCTGCACTTACATGCAGCTTTGTCACATTTTGCCCAGAAATAAGTCTGTTTAACTCACAAGTCATCTTCGTCCTCCTCTGTCTGCCAGCTATTACCAAAGTCATTGACATTTCCAGCCAATGTGCCATCTGGTTTGGTGAAGTCATTGTTAGGGTTTCCATTGTAGTCCCCACAGAGACCACACATCTGGTCATGGTAGGAGCTGGGGAGCAAAGAGTTGTTGCATGTTGATAGTTTTCAATAAAAAAGTAAAACTGAACTGTTTAAAGACAATAGTGGAGGATTATTGTCTCTGTGTTTCATCATCTGAGTCAGAGGTTAATCTGCATAAAGTGAAAACCTTTCATTATGGACAGGACATTGCCTGGAATCATCAGTCCATCAACCAATCTTAGGGGCCTTTGAGTGGATTAAAAAATACATGAACTAGCCAACATATTTTATTCAGATCGAAAAACAACCACCAAAGCTAATGAGAGAGCATGACTTTATGTCATCTGTACAATCCAACAAAGGCTTTAGTGAATCACCGATTATTATTTATGGACAAATAAATTTGAATATAATCTGCAAACAGTGGAACAGGAAATTCAATCTTTAAAATTTTGACCACAAGGGAACATGTATGTTGAAAACAAAACTGGGCCCAGTACTGAGCCTTAAGGAACTACACATGCAAATGGTGGTGGAGCAGAAGAATATAAAACTCTATGGAGTGAAAAGATAATATTTAATAATAATTGTAATAATACATTACAATTGTATTTAAAAAGCACATTTCTGGACACTCAAGGACACTGTACAGCTAAAACCCAAAACAGATAACAGTTCCTTTGGTAGTTCAAGTCAAGATAAGATGCTCCAGTCCACAGTGTCAAAACAGCACTCAAGTCTAAATAATGAAAACAACTGAGCTCCTTGAATAAATCATTTATTTTTTTAATCCTGAAAAGTGTAGTTTCAGTACAAGAAAGTTTGTTAAAACCAAACTGAAACATGTCAGAAGTGACGACTCTTCTAGTTATAACTAGAAAAGAAAGTGTGCAGCAAAAAGAATAATTAGGCAATAAGACAGAGTTTCATAGACTGGAGGGTCTAATTTTTATTTGAAATAAAAGCTTCACCACAGCATGTTTGTTTGAGATGTTTGAGGAAGTCAGATTTGGCATGTGTTTTACATAAACTACTGTTGGATCTATGCAGTATTTATGTGGATCATCTTTCCATAGAAAATAATAAAAGGTTTCAGTTCAAGATTTTCAAAGACACCAACCTTGGAACAGAGATCTGAGCGTAATGGTTTCCATCCCAACGCACCCGAAGGCCAAACATTGTTTGCAGAGTGACGTACTGACCGGCAAGACTGAGAGACATGAGGGCTGAGGGGGAGTAAGGGAGAGACACTCGCACACCATTCACCTGAAATACACAGAGTTGTTTAACAGAAATCAGGCCAACAAATCAGCTTTTCTATCAGATTTCCTCTATAAAGATATTTAAAGAAATTATAAGGAAGACAAAAATACAAGAAGCTATCTGTAGAAATACTTCAACATTTTACTGCTTGGAAACATTTTTCTCTAAAAACTGACAGGAATTTTTTTAAATTAGAAATTTATTAATTTAATTAAAAACAAAATAACTATATACAATTAGAGAAAAATGTTTCCAAGCAGTAAAATGTTGAAGTATTTCTACA